GTTTTGACTCATAGCATCTCACAGTCACCAGACCATCCAATCTCCAAACAGATTTCTTTTTCTACTTCACCTGACAACTCAGTCGATTTCTGTTCTCTATTTCACATCCATCTGATTTCCTTTTTCTTTTTTAACCTATGACATTCTTATCCTCTGTAACAACACACACACAAAATAATGCCACTTCCTCTTTGGATCTGGTTACACGTGGGTTCTGTGGCACGTGTGGCCGTGGCTCACGTTGCATCTTTTATATTTGCAGAAATACAGCATATAAAATCCACTTATCCCCCCACTTCTGATTACCCGGATGTGGCCATAATCGAGGCTGAGAACTTCTCAAGGTGGTTTGCTTCATCAGGTTTGTAATCATCTGCCACAAGTGATGATGCATCGAAATGTCAGTCTCTTCAAGGTTACACCAAAACAGATTTATGTCTGAAGGATGAAAGCAGATGTTTATTTCATTAAACTGAATCAAGTACTCTCAAAGAAACACAAAGAACACTTTAAATGTGAAAGATTCATTGAGAAGCATTGTGATGTCAGAGATGCTTGCATCTATAAAAACTAAATTACAGCTGCCTGGGTTTAACATGCACTTCACAGAACATAGGAAATGCTTCATTTGTGGTTTTATGGATGGATGGCTATCATGATGAAGTACTTCTCACACCAATAAAAGTGTCCAGGACCTGTCGATGATGCGCTTGATGAAAAAGTTAAACATTGGTTTTCTCTTTTAAACACATGAACAGTTGTGAAAGCTATCATTTAAGCCTTATAGAGTATAAACACACACACATCTAAGCTTTTCGATCTTTATACTTTTAACATACTCACATTCATGTCTACTTGTTTAGCCCAAGGGGTTAAAGTTTGGCTGGACATCATGGACCCTGCTGATAAACGCTGTAACTACATCATCCAGCAATTCAAAATTAGCTGTGTATTCAGACTAAATAACATCTGTAAGCATAATATTAAATTATAATACAGTAGATGTTTTACCAATGGCCAGTTCTTGTTTGGAGGACTCTTAAAAGCATTTAATTGATGTATATTTTTTCATCGCCTTTGACATCACAGTTCAGGATGGTTGTTTGTGAAGGCCATGCCAATCAATGTTGTCATGATGTACATTTCCTGCATGTAATGGGTCTGCCAGCTGAGCAACTGCTATTTAGATAAATGTGAATGCTAATGGTATTATAGACATGCATTAGCAATCTAATCCTGACACCAGGAGTAAAGAAATAAAACAGTTCTGCAAGCATTTAGGTCAAGCGGTGGAAATCTCAACCTGAAGGCAGTCAAGTTAGTAAGTGGTTTTATTATGAGGCAATGGCACCCTCTGGTGTTCATAATTTTACACTATGGGAAAAACTTGGTTTTGTGGTAACTCGCCAAATCACCACAGTATTGTCACAGTGTTCAACTGCCAAACACAGCTTTTATAGAACATTCATGACGTGATTTCAATGCCATTTTGAGTAAAAGTCAACACATCTTTTGACATAATCTAAAAAAATTAGGTCTCCTCCCTGACCATGGGGACTTGATCTTCTATGTCGATTCCAAAGCTATATATGCAAATTACTAACTATAAGATGTAAAAGTTTGAAATCTTTCCCAAAACAAATCCTGTATGGATCCATGTGCACAGTTTTACATGCATGCATTCATAATAATCAACAACAGATGGACTGTAATCTGATCCTTGTACACAGTATAACATCCAACACTCTCAAAAATTGTTCCCTTGCTTTGTCTCATCTTTCTGCAAGTATGTCTTCAACTTTCACATTTGTAGCTCTGCCATCAGTGGATTCTGCGTTTCATCTACACCACTTTCCTCATCCTTCTTATTTCATGAGGTGTTTGTGCACTGCAGACCAACAGAAGTGGCATTAACAGCACTCTCTTAAACCATTAACAACGCTCATAACACTCCCAGATCGAACCAGCAGCAGAGAGAAAATGTCACATACGCACACCATATTAGAAGCCAAAGTGTTAATTGTGTGATGTTATGTTGTGTACTGTGTGATGTTATGTTGTGTTTAGGGGAATGTGTGTCTTTCATTCCATTTTCCATCCAAATAAGACTTGTTTTTTTTACCAGGCCATTTTTCACATCCAATAGGCGTCATTCCTCTAGGGCAGTACCATTCCTCAATTCCTAGAGTTGAGAGAGATTTCTAAGGATTTCCTCCTTCCATCAGCGCAGTCACCACAAACAAGTCCCCCTCCCCAATCATGGGGTTGTTGTGCTACAGAGCTCCATGCTGTCATGTTAACCCCGTTCCTTAAATAGGGAGAAAACACAGTCTGCAGATTGTTTTCCATTCATTTTCTTTCTCTCTCTAAGGTGAAGAAGCATAAATAAAGTGTCTATTTAACCCTTTTCTTTTCTCCTCACTTAACCCCTATATCGCACAATGCTGCCTTCATGGTGAGAAACCCATTTTCAACTTCAGTACCTACAAAATGGTTAATACTGAAGGGATGACATATAATAAAAGGCCTTTTTAGTCACACTACAGCCTGATATGTTTTGGCTTTTCTGGCATGGTACACTGTTAAGAGGAAAGAAATGACATGAGAAAAGCTATTTTCCTAAAAGATGCATGGGAAAAAAACATGACAGTTTCCACAAAAGTATTAAGAAGCACAACTGTTTTCATCACTGTTTTCATCACTTTTCATTATTTTCTTAAGCACCAAATCGCCATATTAAAATTATTTGTGAAGGATCACATGACACTGAAGACTAGAGTAATGGCTCCTGAAAATTTAGCTTTGCCATCACAGGAATAAATTACATGTAAAAATAGAAAATAGTTCACAATAATACTTCACAGTATTACCTTATTGCTGTATTTTTGATCAAATAAGATCAAGTCTTCTTTCAAAACGTTCACTGACCTCAAACCTGAACAGTAGTGTACCCTGCTAAAAGGATTTTAGTAATGAGGCCTATTTTATGCAAGAAAACTGAATTAAACCTTTTTAACACTGCTTTAATGCATGCAATAGAGAATTATATAACTTTGCATTAGAAGATCCCCACCAAGATTGCAGACATGTAGACTTAACATTACTAGCACATAGCTACTAAACCAGTACCAAGTGCCATGGTGACACCCAGCTTCCATACACATATACATACCAAACAAAAACACACACTCACTCACACACACACACACACACACACACATACACACACACACACACACCCAATCCACATGATCCTCATGAGGCCCACAGCTAATTTAAGACCTGAGGGAATAAGGAATCATTTTCAAAGCCTGGGTGGGCAACAAACAGACTCCTCTACGGCATTCTGTAACATGTCTTACTGTCCCTGTGCAATAAACTTTCTTTCTCGTATCTATTGAGGTAAAACACCTTTGTTCGGACTGGAAATAAGAAATATGGGAACACAAATATCAATATTATTCGTCAAATCATCTTTGTCTACATCATTTGCAAAGTGCTTCTAAATTTTTCATTCACAGACAACTAGCACCACATCCAAATAAGAAATATGACACTATGAGCCATAACGAACAAAACACAGGCCTTAGGAAATATGGGCATCTTACATAATTTCTAAAACTCCTTTCAGACCAGTGGACTGACACTGACCTAAATCTGTCTCTCTATCCACAGCTTCTCAGGGCTTATCACAGCAGAAACATGCATTAGTGCACACACACACACACACACACACACACACACACACACTCACAACAAACTATGCCCATTCAGGTGCAAGGCACAACCAGAGGACACTGTCTATGTCAGTATCTGTGTGGTGCTCACTGGATCAAATTTACTGAAAAAACATTTGTCACGGCCCCTTGAATCCCATAATTCCGGATATCAGAGCACGGCTTACCACTGATACAGTAAGCAGAAAGGGATAAAAGGTCAACACAAAACAAGGGGGAACATCCTGTCATCTAATAAACCACAACACAAAATAAGCACCTAAAAGATAGGGCTTATATGCTATGCTATGACATATATATATATATATCACTGACTAATATAACAATATATCACCATATTCAAAATTATTCAGTCAGAATATCCTCGATCTAAAACTGTGTGAATGTGTCTTTTCATATTTTTAGTAATGGACATAGTGGAGTGACATTTTGGGTTAATTAATCACACATCTGTGTTAATTACCAAAGCTGCTGATCCAAAAAATAACACTAACAAAGCAATCTGCAACAAGTACATGTTAATATTCTGACATCTAAAGCTTCGTCTCTGACTCTCTGATGGAAAACCTTTGAGAAAACAATATTCTCAACACTTCAGGATTACAGGAAAATATAGTGATAGCAAATGGTCAGTCACATTCAATGTACAGACATGAGCCAAATGGATTTACATGTTCTGGTAAACCTTTCAGCAGTATCTGTGACTAAGCAGAGCCCCTGATCCTCTCCGACTCCTCCAGTGAACTCTGTGACACAAAAAGTCTCAAATACTGTAAGAAATGACCCGGTCCCCTAGCTTCCTATTTTTATATTCCTTTTTATAGGCTTATATAATTTTAGTATGGTTTGAAATTGAATGAAAAACAACATGGAATCACAGGGGAACATTACTAATGGCAGAGCCAAACCCAAAAAACCCCACTTCTTTATTACTTGCAAATGGCCTTTTAAGAATTAATGGTCCTTCAAGGGTTCCCACACTTTCTGACCAATTTTAATGACTTTTCCATGTTTTTCCAGTTGTATGTGATGAATGGATTAAGATTTGAAAAAAAAAAAGAAAAAAAAAAAAGAAGCATTTTATAGAAATCCCACTAAAAACAAGTAACTATCCAGGCAAAAATACTTAGTGGTACACAATACACATAGTGGTACACCAACATATTGTTTGCTTTTACAAAAGGCACATAGATCATGTACAGTTATTGTTGAACATACAATCAATATATTTAATATGAACTCAATAATTACTATGGTACCTACCTGAACTTTCTGGAGCAAACATATGCATTTCTCCCTGACATCTTCATAAGGACACCGTTTGGAGAGCATCAGGACATGAGCCAGGAGAGCGTTGAGATCACTGGACAGACTGTCACCCATGGCTGGGGGAGAGGAGGACTGCGGGTTTGGTATCGGCCCCATGGTCTCTATTCTCTTCATCACCTCCTGGTGAATGAGCTCCATCGCTGCCTGTCTGGAGCTCAAGTCTCGACTGACCAGAGCATCCCACCTTCCTGCAGCATCTCTCACATCCATCACTGTAACAGTCTACTATTCTTCAACTATACACCTGAATGACTGAGCCATGCACAAGACAAAAAAAGTGTGCTAATTATTTATATAGCTGGAATAATCCTAATCCAATCTGCTCTACTGCAAGCCGGCAAAGGAATTCTGCAAATCCCTCCAAAAATGTTCCATAATCTGCTAGTATAAACAGACTTGCAAATGCATGGGCATGTCTTAGCAGGCACTATACGAATTATATGTATTTATAATGTGGTGAATGCTTTACCAAACAAAAGTTGATTTTTGTTTTTGTTTTCTGTTGTTTAAACAGAAGAACTGACACAATTTCAAATGTCTAGCTAAATATTTTTCCAGAGTTTCTATATAAACTGGTTATTTTACCAAAGAAACACTGAATATAATATTATACAGTAGACACACTGTAAAAAAAAAAAAAAAAAAAAAACCTTGAATGACGTTAAATCAAGTTCTGTTATTAGGCAACAAGCAAATATTCCTCAATGGTTACACAATTAATAAAACCATAGGTATGGTCAGTAATACTATTTTAAAAAGAAATGTCAGATGAAAATACGTACTAAATGTACATTCTCTCTAGTCGTCCCCGCTGCCGTTGAACGAGACCTTCCTGAGCTCTGGCTCTTCAATCGATTTCAGTCCTTTGCACAGCGGCTTGAGTTAACAATTGATTGACAGCTACCACAGTCCAATAGTGTTCTACAAAAAAACTGATAGGCGGAGCCATGCTCACGGCGCACCAATCAACGACTAGAAAGGCGTTCATGGCAAGCAGCACCTCCCAATACTAATAAAAAGGGAATTGTAGTTCGGACGCTCGTTAATTTCAACGCTCTCTTGGTGGCGCAAATACAACGCAGAACTACAAGTACCAACAGCCACAAAAAACATTGGTAACTGCAGGGGCCCCGCCACCACTTGTTTATCTCAAAACCCTTTACCCTTATGATTAATGCAAGTTTTCGCCAGATATTCATATATCTTATTCAATGAAAATTTGTGAGCTAATCTCTGAAAACAGAACAGGTGTGTCTACACCACCTCTTACTGTTTTACAAATATGAGCAATGCACTCGTCTTTGTTTCAAAGTTCCTCTGTCATATAGAAAGCATCCTCAATAAAAATAGAACTGGGAAACAAGTAGAATATTTTTGTTGTCAACCTGACTAATCCAGATCTATCTAATCTACTTGTCTGTCTGTCTATCAGTATTTCTCTATATTGTAGAAGCTGTGGTCATATTGTGTACATGCGGAACCACAGAGGGCGGTAAAAGAAGAGGGAAATTTTAAACTGGGCGGCGCTGTCGGCTACAGCTGTTAAGTGTTAACATGACACTATCAGCTAATTCAGCTGTAACGTTACCTCGATGAATACATCATTTGTTTTTGTGTAACGAAGAGACTGATTCATAATGGATCACTTCAGAGATCAGGTATATATGCTTTATGCTAAATTGTTTAATTGAGGTTGTTAGCGATGTTTACATTGACGTATCACAGTCGTTAGCCTTATTAGCTTAATCACATTTTGTACTGAGCAGCCTACGGCAGTACTTTTGGGTTCATGAAGCGTTTATGTAGGCTTGAAAGCAGCTCATTAAGGTTTGACACACGGCCATTTAATAAATTAACAATGAAATTAATCTCGTTTGACTTGGTGTTACAGTGTGGCTTGCTTTTTTTCAGTTATTTTGGCTGCTTTAAACAATGGTTCTCAGACTGTATTGTATTATTTAACAGCCATTTTTTTCTAGTAAGACGTTGACTCGGTGTATATATATATAGCTGTATTATTACCGTTCACTCATTCAAAGTGTTGTTTTTTGCCATAAAATTAATAATTTGCTCTTTTTTTATTTCTTAATTACAGAGTCTAAATCTGGACTCTCCATCTAAACATAGTTATGTTGGCAGTTTTTACAAGCCTCCAGAGACGCTGTCAAGACCTCTGTATATGAACACAGACACACATCCACTGGACAGAAAGAGCTCAGGTGTACAAGACATCAGCCCACAACTTTATCAGAGAGTACCTGATGCTGGAAGCAGAGGTGAATTGAGTTTAATAAACAACACAAGACCATATGTAACCAAATATTTAAGATCAAATGTAAACATTTCCTGTGTATGTACAGCAGTGATATCAGCCCTGAAAACACTGCGGGAGAAGATGCGACGCTTGGAGCTGGAGGGAGTTCAGGCAGAGAGGAACGTCCAGGATTTCTCTCAGACTGTTCGACATCAAGCGGGTGCTTCTGCACAGAGAGAACTGGATCACAGCACACAAGAGAATCGCTCTGCACAGAGGAAAGGTAAAAGTGTTGCACAACCGGTTTTGATCTGTTGGGATAATAATTAAAAAGTCCAGTAGAGCACTAAATCAGTGTGTACTAAGTTGTCTCTTTCTCTTTTTAGCAGAGCTGGTTTCTAAGCTTCACTCTGTAGAAACACGCTGCTCTCTGCTGGAAAAACAGCTTGACTACATGAGGAAAATGGTAAAGTGTGCAGAGAGAGAGAGCATCACTCCCACAGACAAGCAGGTGAGCAGACCGACAAAAGCAAAAGAGCTTGTGCAGTATATTTCTATACTGTGCACTATAGCTTTTTAAAGCCTCTCTTTATCTCTCTCTGTTTCTCTTTTCTGACTGGTCTTTAGGACTCTGTGTGTAGGGAGAGCACACATACAGACCCACAAATGCAGGCACACCTCAACAAATTGGAAAGACTGGAAAAGGAGTATCTAAAACTCACCAGTACACAGTCTATTGCTGAGGTACAAACATATGATATGCACTAGGGCTGACCACCTGGGCTATATGCACAAGTAATTTTTGGGGGAAAAAAAATCCTCATGGATGGTTATCTTTTTTTATAATCTGTTGTGGTGTCTTTCATCTACAGAGGAAGATTGAGGTCTTAGAACAGAAACTTTTAGAGGAGCAACATGAACGCAAACTTGTGCAGGAGAAAGCAGAGGAGGTGAAACAAACAAAGGCAAAAAAGTGCAAACGCATTGTCAAAGAATAGATTTATAAATAATGTAAACTTTCCCCTTACAAAAAAAGCTTTTATTAAAAAGCCATTTTTAAAATCCGTGCCTTAATGTAGTCTCTTTTCTTTTCCTGGCATCAGTTGCAGCGAGAACTTGAAAACAATCTCATCTCCCTTTCTGCTGTGACTCAACCTAAAGGCAAGAAAAAAAAGAAAGAGAAGGCCTCTTGCAAGGTAAAAAAAAAAGCTCAGCAGTAATGTGTAGTGAGCACAAGGTGGCAGTATATTTACAGAACAGAATACTACAGATATTTTCTGTAGTGAGTTGTTAATGTTTTGTTTTTTCTTTCATATTATGTCAGAAGCCCTCCTCAGTGAAGGTGGAGGCGCCCCCCACTCCTAAGGCTAAACGCATCCCATTTGTGGCTGGAACAGTCAGTATGACCTCACCCTGACACAACATAACTTAATTATTATTTACATTTGTTCATGGTTATTATTACACAAAAGTGACCGTTAAGACATTTATAGTATTACAGAAGATTTTCTGAATATATATATATATATGTAATTTCTAATTCTATCAAAGAATCCTGAAAAAAAAGAAACACATTTTCCACAAATATTAACTGTTTTCAGTATTGGTAATGATGATAATAGTTTTCTTGAGCAATTTTCTCTCTCTCTCTCTCTCAGTCGACCAGTCCCAGTCACTCAGTCAATGCCAATGTCCAGAGTGTGTTGCACCTGATGAAGCATAGAAACCCACGGCTGTGTGAGAGAGTCGGCGCACTGCAGAAGTCGGGTTCTGAGAACCAGTGGGCCGAACGCAGACCTCCGTCTTCCCCCAGCAGAGCAGCTCCAGCACTGGGCAACCTCTCTGATCTTCTACTCGCCCTTCAAGATGAACTGGGACAGATGAGCTTGTGAGTCACACCATCTTGACCATGGACTTTTTGTAATGCATTGATGGGGAGAGTAGGATACAATATAAACATTGTGTGTGACAGTGAACACCAGGAGTTGGTCAAGCAGATAGACGAGACCTCTAAACGAGAGCTTCATGACGATCTGGAGCGAGAGCTGGACTGTCTGGTCAAGAGAATGGAGGAGAAAGCAGCTCAAATCTCCAAACTGCGCAAACATCAGCAAACAGTAAGTTTGTACTTAAAATTACAGCTTAAGTTACACATTACACTTTCAGATATTTTTTGTATAGTATTTAAATAAAAACATCCTATAGAAAACGCTGATGCATATCAAGCTGTTTTTGCTCCTGTAGGTTCAGAAACTCTCCCAACCATCTTGTAGCCCCAGGCAGAAGCCACATAGGGCTGTCAGTGTAGAGGGCAAAACCAGAGCACAGAGTGGGGTACAACCATTGCCACCGTCCCCTGTCAAAGCCTCAGCCAGCAAGGGACAGAGCAGGAGCAGTCAAGAGTCCCTGAGGCTCCTCAGAGAGACACAGAAACTGTGCCCTGGTCTCCGCAAACAGGACATTGCATGGGAGACATAGTTACATTTGTCCTGAAACACATATCCAGGGCTTTGAAGAGTTGCAGCTCAAGAGGACAGTGGTATGACACCTGATCTTTGCCCTCAGAAGATAAAAAAACACTGATTCACCTGCATATTAATTCAAATTTTACTCAATCTATATACGTCTCAATGACGTTAATGAGATTTGATTGATTTTTTATTTCTGTTGGTAATATTTTTTTGTTTGAATAAGTTGTAAATAAAATATCTACATATATTTGTAAGTACAGACCAACTTGGCTTTTTATTTATCTGCACACTAAACTCTGATCACTTTTCACCATCCAATTGATAAAATTACGTCCTGTCCTACAGGTTTTGGTTTGATATGTTTAAACTAGAAATAAGACAAATATAAATATTTAAATGAACATTTTACACAATCACTACAAATGGCTGTTGATAAGACTTTTTACTTCACCTACTCAAAGTGTGAGAAAATAACACCAGGAAATGTAGTGATGGTGATGAAAAATGTGAGGGGAAAACAAGTATTGTTACCACAGCATCAGCTTTTGTGTCGTGAGATTTACAATCAGCTGACACATTGTTTCCTTCACTGTTTCCACAACAGAATGATCCCATTCTTTGACATCTGCTCTTGTTACAACCACAAATCAGAGAGATGGTTTACACCTTGAGAAACCACAAATATGAATATATATATATATATATATATATATATACACACACACACACACACACACATGAGAGGAGAGCAGATGACAAAAATGAACAAAAGCATTCTAAATGTAACTCCGTTTTGTTCAGATGGTCTTATTGGATTGTGGTCTGTGATACAGTACAGATTAAATCAGTATTGCATAAACTCATTTGAATACAGGAAGCACTGGCAAACACACACAATGTAATATCATTGATTCTTGGTGCTCACAACCCTTGATTCCGGCAAGATGACGACAGCGGCATGTTAACCAGTTTCGACTGGCTGTTACAGTGCATCATGCAACATGTCCTTGTAACACTGCATTTCTCTAAAATGATTCAGGACCCTTATGGTCATATTTTCAGTAGTGTGGTACGGGGGAAAACATTGAATCCCAACACATGCACATCCTGTTCAGAGAAGAAATCGAAGCATTTGATGCAAAGCAAGCAAGAACTGAGTTGACCCTCAGGGTGAGCGCATATCCTGTTAGTTAAACGTTACAGAGTTTGTTTTAAGGACTGTTTTTTAGGATATAGTGACATTGAAAAAGATTAAATATAGTCTAGCGATTCAAAGACGTTTTAATGAATTCTCACTGGACTTTTATATCAAGGCTCTTTATTCTAAATAATATCAGAGATTCTTCAAACTGTGGCCAATGGAAGGCCATTTCCACCTCAGCCTTAATTAAATCAGGTCATGTGAGCTACAAAGTTGCAACTGTGAGATAATGAAACGTCACACTTGGGAGATAGTCACAATTGTGAAAAAAGACACTTTGCCAGATTTAATGGTGCATCGGGAGATATAGTCGCAATTAACTTGAACTCATTTGAGGTGGGAATGAACCTCTATAGTGGCTGTAACCAAATATGGTACTGAAGAGTGACAGTCACAAAGGTTTCTTAAAGAAAAAGGCAAAATAAAAACACCCACAACTGTTTTACAATACTCAAACTTTAATTAATCACATTTTCAACCTAATTGTGAATGCAGATCTGAAACGAGGGAAAACACAAGAACAAAAGAGAGTTCCAGAGAAATAAAACCAACACAATAGAGCATAAAACTATTAAGGCAGATTTTCTGGACACAGACGCAACAGTAAGTGTCTTTTAATTGACAAGACCGTATGTGGAGCATGTGCATGTTTATATGAAGCAATAAAAAAAAATGCACTACTGGACAACAGGCCATAAGTAATTACAGTAATTAAAAAAAAACATTAGTAACTCAATTCTTTGAAATTAGATAAAATAGTGGCACAAGCGAGATGCTATAGTCCATGTACCTCTCATTATCCGCTCACAACTTCAATAGACCAAACCTTCACTCTAAAATGTTCAAGTCCCTTAGAGAGTGTAACTCTTCATGACAATAGTACGGTAATTCTCATCATCTAATCTTAATTAAGGCACTTTATATTCAAAAGGTGCAGCAAGGAATGCAACACTAGCTCAGAGCAATGGCAATGGCTGTTTCTGTGGAAATCTGATGCATACATGCACACAAACATAATGGCATAAGAAATCAAGGCCAAAGACTTTGAAGTTAGGTTGAATTCTTTGAGTGTGAGATGATTTTGAGCTGTTTACCTTCTCAAATATTAGCATCCTTGACTGAGCTCTATATTTGGAATTAATGGATAGCTCACCCGAAAATGTAGAATGTCCTTTACAGCCTTTTGCATGCACAGCTAAAATCCATTTGCAACTACATGGGATCTTTGGATGTAGCCTGATGCTAAACAGACAATACTGTGATGAGTTGTGTAATTGTGTATTTATGTTAACTATTAAAATAAATTACAATGAAACACTGTAGTCTAATCTTTTCTTAAGTAAACAGTGTTTTTAATTTGGCAAAGCTGAAGCAAAATGGCAAACAACAGGATTTCATCTGACTACACTATGGGCATGATGAAGCTTGTGAAGCATTATAGCAGCTTTTCAGTGACTCATGCTAAAACAGACACCTTTGGCATTTAAGCACTGTGATACGACAATGGACAAGCAATTAGAGTGGTTCAATAAAGAAAGTGAGGCCTTAACATTCATCTTCTGAGAAACCTGCAATTAACACAATGCTGGGAATGGAACATTTTCGGCATCAAGAAAGCAGATAAAAACGAAAGCACACCAAACAAAACGATTCCTTTCTGCCATTACAAAATTTGCAACCCAAACAACGGGAATCACTTCCCAAGCCAATGACATTACAACTCGCAGAGGAAGTTATTAGCAGCAAGCTAATCAAGATTATTACATTTCAAATTTCATAACATAGGAATGAAGGAAAAAAATTACAGGCCCTCGGCCTATAAACGTGCCAACACACTAGACAGACAAATTAATTTATGAACATAGTACCAAATGAAATAAGCTCAGTAAGGCAGGAATTAGGCGTAGTGTAGGTCTATTCAAAATAAATTCACCCAAACTCAATTATATTTCAAGAAATCAAACCCAAGCATTAAATGATGAGTCTGTCACAGCTCTGAGACTCCATCAAAATCTGCAGATGATTGTAGCAATAAAGACAAACGAAAGAATAAGCAAAACATATCCTGAATGCATTTTTCTAGGGCACATTTCAGTTCTCTTAAGGGTAATTAACACAAAAGCTTCTAAAAAAAAAACATTAGAATCTACGTACAAGTCTGTTTTAATCGCCCTGAAGTATGTACACCTCAGCTTAAGACATTTTAGTGCCTTAATGATATTGATTCAGTTTATGGTCAAAGAGTTCTGATTATGGACAAATATCGATCTGTTTTTGAATGGGAGTGCTAGGATCTGACCGACATATCTGCGCTAGCAAAAAAAATAATAATTAAGCTCAAGAACTGAGAGAAGCTTTTGGGAACATGACATATTAATCCAACAAATTAATTAACTTGTAATTATCTACTCTGTATAATATAGTGATCAGTCCAGCTGGCAGACACTAGATCTACTTCATCGAAACAAGCACGCATTCGTATCTTTAAACACACTGACATACAGGCAGACACACCAACACACAGCCTGGCCTCGATAGACGACACGAACACATTCACACTTTTAAGGCTCACTTTTAAGGCAGCAAGCCACTGCCTCCACCTAAAGGCACTTTGACTCAACTGTCAATCATTCTGAATGGGATCATGGATCCTCCGCTCTCATAGTGCCTCAATCTATTCGCATGTCCCGCAGAATAGACTAATTTTAATGAAGACTTATTTCGGCTGTTAGTAGAACTGGATTGGCTGAACTCCTAATGTTTCAAATCCACCAACTCTCTGAAAGTACAACTTAATAGCCGATAAGCTGGTAAGTCCCCCACAATGATAGGATGCTAACTACGGGTATATAATGCATCTCTGATATTACCCAGCACTCCACTGTCACATTTGGGGAAGAAAAAAGGAGTGAGATGCCAGTTTTAACTCATTTTGAGAACTGCAGTCTACTGGTTCTCTAACTACAGATAGTTAACAGTGATGGACTAAGGTGGGGAATGTAATTTATTGCAAACATTTTGGTTCTCTTGGTTGGCGTAAATGAGGAATGGCCATAAAAGGGTTTGAAATCAAACACCACACACAGATGGACACAACCCAAAGGACTATGTGATGAAAATGCAGAACAGATTTGAAATAAAAGGGGAAAAACTTTGTTCATTCAGTCCGGAATTATACTGATATTATTTTTGAACGTGGTGATGATGATGATGGACTCGATAGAATATTGAGAACCATCAGTAATGGTAACTGTATAAAAAAAAAACACTGTCCTAGTGAAGATACCTGAAATTAACACTGGGAATCGGGAAGTATTGTCGCAGGTATGATGAGAAGGTGCCCCCTCCGATGCCTTTCAGGGGAAACACCATGACACCATGAAAACAATTTACGGACATAACTTTGAAAGCTGTGGTTGTACACAAAAGCAGGACACATTTCACATACCCCATAATGCCACTGCTCGAAAAGGCTTGGGGCATTACTTTGTGTGTGGGGTGTATTTGTGTTAATGAACTCGGGTGATAGTGAGAGATCTAACATTAACGAAAAATAAAGCTCAAATCACAGGAATTAAAATTAAAAAAATATGAGTGGGATGAACATGGGGGATCACGGGAGTGTTTAAGAAATATCATCGAATCTGTGAGTATAATGTGTCTCTCTCTCTCCCTCTCTCTTTTGGGTCGGAGTGTGGGTTTTGTGGTGCCTCCAGGTGGCAGCGTGTTACAGGGTGTGGTAGTTGCGATCCTTGGATTTGCAGAACTTGTAAAGGAAAAAGATGACAGCTTGAAGGCCAAAGACTAACACAATTCCCCCGATGAAACTGGCGGCATCGAATGTGGATGATCTAGATGGAGAAGTAGTAGGTGACATGGTCGTGGTGTCTGTGGAAAGGCCAAATTTTCAGTTAAACTTAAACGGATAAAGGAAGTGTTTCACTCTGTAAGAGAGAGCTGTACTTACTTGTGACTGTGCTGTTTTGAGTCGGAGCAACTGATGTGGTGGGGACTGTCGTGGTAGCTGAACAGAAAAAAAAGTGCTGTTCAGAATCATTTTTCTACATCAACAATAAACAGTAAAAAAGCAGATACATCAAATCTTACAGCCTGCTCTGTGCTATGAACTGATACATATATCAGTAACTGACAGATATACAGTGCTGTGAACAAGTTTTTGCCCCCTTCCTGTTTTTTTAATTGTTTGCATATTTGTCACACTTAAAAGATTCAGATCATCAAACAAATTGTAATATTACACAAAGATAATGCAAGTAAATACAAAATGCAGTTTTTAAATTATGATTTCTTTTATTAAGGGAAAAAAAGCTGTCGAAACCTGCCTGGCCCTGCGTGAAAAAGTAACTGCCCCCTAAATCTAATAACTGTGCCACACTTTGCAGCAACAACTGCAATCAAGTGTTTGCGATAACTGGCAATGAGTCTTTCACATCGCTGTGGAGGAATTTTGGCCCACTCTTCTTTGCAGAATTGTTTTAATTCAGCCACTTTGGAGGGTTTTCCAGCATGAATGGACTGTTTAAGCATCTCAAGTCCAGACTTTGATTTGGCCACTCCAAAACCTTAATTTAGTTTTCTTGAGCTATTCAGAGGTGGACTTGCTGGTGTGTTTGGGATCATTGTCCTGCTGCATAACCCAAGTGTGCTTGAGCTTGAGGTCACAAACTGACGGCCGGACATTCTCCTTCAGGATTTTCTGATAGAGTGCAGAATTCATGATTCCCTCAATTATGGAAAGTCGTCCAGGTCCTGAAGCTGCAAAGCAGCCCCAGATCATCACACTACAACCACCATGTTTGACTGTTGGTATGATGTTCTTTTTATGAAATGCTGTGTTGGTTTTACGCCAGATGTAACGGGACACACACCTTCCAAAAAGTTCAACTTTTGTCTCATCAGTCCACAGAATATTTGCCCAAAATTCTTGGGGATAATCAAGATATTTTTTGGCAAATGAGAGACGAGCCTTTGTGTTCTTTTTGGTCAGCAGTGGCTTTTGCCTTGAAACTCTCCCATGGATGCCGTTTTTGCCTAGTCTCTTTCTTTTTGTTGAATAATGAACACTGACCTTAATTGAGGCAAGTGAGACCTGCAGTTCTTTAGATGTTGTTCTGGGTTCTTTTATGACCTCCTGCATGAGTCGTCGTTGTGCTCTTGGAGTAATTTTGGTTGGCCGGCAACTCCTGGGAAGGTTCACCATTGTTCCAAGTTTTCTCAGTTTGTGGATAATGGCTCTGACCATGGTTCGCTGGAGTCCCAAAGCCTTAGAAACGGCTTTACAATCCTTTCCAGACTGACACATGTCAACTGTTTTGATTCTCATCTGTTCTTGAACTTCTTTAGATCGCGGCATAATGTGTTGCTATTTAAGC